AAAATAAATGATGCTGCAGTTTGGTGCAAACATTTTATTTATTTATTTACTTTTTGCGTGTGAAACATTTTCCCAAGGAAATTGATTTTGAAAGTTAAGGCACTGCCTGTTAAATATTGCTTTTCTTTCTGAAAAACAATAATTTTACATCATATGGGATGGCAAGTTCTGGTACATTGTCAAACTTTATTTAAGCTCCTGATGTAATCCTCTGATGCCAATTCAGAGTTGCTATTTTTAAATGAATACTTTCCTTGAACTGACTTTTAATTCCTTGGGTAATTTCTACTTGCTATTAGCAGTTGAATAGTTGTGCCTGTGCATCAGAGTTCAGGAAAATAGCAACCATCTGCCAAGAACCACAGACCTTAGCCCTGGGTCTCTATTATTCTGACAGCTCCACCTTCTCTAATGGAAGTATCAGTACCCAGTAAGCATTCTGTTGGCACTCAGAGTGGAAGTATTAAGACCCTATGGCCCACTCTAGGTAAATTATATATTGTCATGTCCTTTGCTAAAAATAAAATAAAAGTTGGGGGTGAATCTTCAGGAAGAATTAAGTAAATAGTGTTATTAATATTTCCTCAAGCACAAAATGGAGCACACCAGTTCGTAAGAGGTTACACCACTTAAAAAACAGACTATTCAAAGGAGGAAAAAATATAGAATTCTGAAGAACTCACTCTGACAACTCATTTAACAAGCACATACTGTTTGTTCTCAGAAAAGTCAGCTTTTGAATTTAGAGGAGTTGAAAGGTTCATTTCTGGAAACAGCTTGTCCTCAAGTTTTTTAATAGTTCAGTTAAACTGAGAGTGGGAGTCACAGGATGAGTACAATGGAAATACTCCAACCTTTTCAGTGACCTTATTTTGTGCATGATAAAGAACTTTCCAGTGTGCAAATAAATCAAGATTTAATGAAGTTCCCTGAATGAGGTTTAATAAACAGTTCTCCAATTTGGAAACTGTCCCTATACTCTCTAATTATTAAAATCTGATTATTCGAAGAAAAAGAAATTAGAGTGAAGTAGAAACAACTGAACATGATGGCCATTATTCTTTACAATTTAAAAAGCTTCTTTAGGATAGTTAATATATTTAGTATGTAAATAACCTATGAAGTTTATGCAGGAGGGCTGTAAATCTTAGTGGATAAGATCACAAGATCTGTGTTCATGAATGCCTGGACTTCAGTGTTAGGACTACCACCACTGGGACAATTTAACCTGCAAGCCAATGTAGAATTGGAATACATAGGATGTAGAACAATAATAATGGTTTTTACTTTATAGAGTTATTGTGGGCATTAAAATGAGAAGGTACTAAGGAACATTATGTAAAAAGCTGACCTGTATACTTAAAACATTAAGTCAAATAGATTTTCAGGATCTGTTTAGGTAGAGAAGCAGCATTTGTGCTTAGTTATCAGCAATCAGAGAATATTGAAGTTCATCCAGTTAATCCTCTCTTATAAAATTTAAGTAAATAAACCAAGTTGTATTTAAATATTCATATTATAAAAATTTTCATAAGAAATATTTCATGCACTTTACAAAAAATAATAGTTGGTATTAAAATTTATTAAAATATATTAATATAAATTTATATTTTTTGTATTTTTTTTTTTTTGTTTTTTTTTGTGGTTCAACTTTTTTTTTTTTTAATTTTTTATTGTTGGCTGTTCAAAACATTACATAGTTCTTGATATATCATATTTCACAATTTGATTCAAGTGGGTTATAAGCTCCCATTTTTACCCCATATACAGATTGCAGAATCACGTCAGTTACACATCCATTGATTTACATATTGCCATACTAGTGTCTGTTGTATTCTGCTGTCTTTCCTATCCTCTACTATCCCCCCTCCCCTCCCCTCCCCTCCCCTCTTCTCTCTCTGCCCCCTTTACTGACATTCGTTTGTCCCCCTTGTATTATTTTTCCCCTTCCCCTCACTTCCTCTTGTATGTACTTTTGTATACCTCTGAGGGTCTCCTTCCATTTCCATGCATTTTCCCTTCTCTCTCCCTTTCCCTCCCACCTCTCATCCCTGTTTAATGTTAATCTTCTTCTCATGCTCTTCGACCCTACTCTGTTCTTAGCTACTCTCCTTATATCAAAGAAGACATTAGACATTCAGATAATGTAGACTAAGGTATATCTTAATAAGATTTTTTTTTAAAAGTTGTCACTTAAGAAACTTTAGAAAGTTGCTCCATTAGAAAATTATTCTTTTAAGATATTACGGAAGTTCATAGTTTTTACTTTAAAAGTTACTGAAAATTTTAAGCAGCTTTATGGAGACTTGCTTGATTCAAATGCCATACAATTTACCTCTTTTGAAGTGTATAATACAAAGTTGTTTTTTTTTTTTTTCGCACATTCTCAGGTTTGCACAATAGTAACCACAAATAGTAACTTTATACTCATTTTCAGTCATTTCCCACTGCCCTCCAACTTACTCTAGCCCCATGTTACCACTAATGTACTATCTGTCTCTATGGATTTGCCTGTTCTGCACATTTCATTTAAATGAAGTCAGTTAATGTATGGTCTATCGAAATTGGCTTCTTTCATGGAGCATACTGTTTTCAAGGTTCATCCATGTTGTAGCATACATACATTAATATTCATTTTTAATTATTGATTAATATTACATTATATGGAGAGATCCCATTTTATTTATCTATTCATGTGTTGATGGACATTTAGGTTGTTTCTGCTTTTTTTTTTCTTGAATGGGCATAGTTTTCATTTATCTTGAGTATATACTTAAAAGTGGAATTAGATCATATGATCACTCCTCATTTATCATTTAAGGAACAGCCACACTGTTTTCCACTGTGGCTACACCCAGTTTATATTTATACCATTGAAATATGAGATTTATAATTCCTCCATATTGTAACCAACACTTTATTTTTGTCTTTTTTTGATTATAGTCAATCCCGATGAGTGGAAATTAGTATCTCTTGTGGTTTTCATTTGTATTTCCCTAGAGTTAATGATGTTGAGCATTGTTTCATATGTTTATTGAATATTTATTTTCTTAAAAATGCCTATCAGATGCATTGCTTATTTTAAAAGTAAGTTATTTACCTATTTTTGTTGAGTTTTTATAATCTTTATGTATTGTAAATAAAATTCCTTTATTAGATATATGATTTACCAATATTTCCTCTTATTCTCTCAATTATCACAGTCATATTTTGAACAAGTTCTCTCTTAGCTAACCAATTAGGAATGGCAAAATAATAATTTTGCTAATATTTTAAGTTTTTCTTCAGAAAAAAATCAACTAGAATTTAGCAAAATAACTTTGCAGATTTGGGCTATTTTTTCCTATGTAAAGCAGAAAAAGAGGTTAAAACTTAGGACTGAAGTGTCAACGAGAACTTACTTTTTTTCAAAAGAATCTTTAAACATTACCATGATGAACTGTGAATGATCCCAATGAAACCAATCCATAGTTAATTGACTTTCTTATCATACCATTATTTCATTAATTCCCTCAATTGTATCAGACAATGTGGGAAATAAAGAAAATACATAATGCCCTCAAATAACTAATAATTAAAACACTAAAATAATTGTAATGTGTTTTAGAAAGTGTTTTTTTTTTTCAATAATGAGCAATTAATAAGTCCCAGGTATTATTAAACCCTTGGGAAACAGAAACATTAAGATGATGTACCTTGCCTCCAGTAGCTGCAAAGTGGATGAAAATATGAACACTTTACATGTTTCATGTAAACACACTATAATAAAATGCAAGTCATAATAAAGCACTGTACTAGTCAGAAGTGATCAATTGTACACGGCTATGCCAGGCAAGGGTACACAGAAGAAGCCTTATATATTTCAAATAAGACATATATAGATGACAACATATATAATATTATATTCTATATAAATATGCACATATTAATATATATACACAATATACATATGTACTTTATATATGTGTGTGTATATATATATATCCTCTACATATATTTCTGTACATGCAAAGAAAGAAGTAAGTATCTAAACATATACGAATTAACGGAACAAACCATAAAATTAATAAAATCTTCAGATAAGATAATATCTTCATAAGATAATAGTAAAATTTGAGCTGGATGATTGGAAAGAAGTTAGAAAGTGTTACAAGCTATTTGATAAAACTTCTTTCTCCCCCTCTCTCACCCTGTGAGTTTTAAGAACTTTTATTTGTAAATAATCCTAAATATGTCATCGTGAAAGTCCTTTGTGTAACCCTCACACTTCTCCTTCCTCAGGGTCTTAAGAGCAGATTGAGGGCAGAGCAATTCTGGTTCCACTCTAGGGATTACAGACCATCTGGGCATCAGTGAGCTGATGCCATCAAGATAGTCTTTAATATCCCTGTGCTCCAAGGAAGGGCTGCTTCTCCTGCTCCACAGCCAGCTCCCACACCTGCTCCCACAAACTTCTCCCTAGCAGGACAACATCATCAACCCCTCTCCTCAGGCTATATGAATTTTGTTCTGTGGGAAAATCCAGAGAACATACAAAGGGGTTGATTTTTTTTTCATTTATCATCATCATCATCATCATCATCATCATCATCATCATATTTACTGTGCACCAACTCTAAGCAGGGCATTTTGCCATACTTTTCATGTTTAAAATTGTAAAATATGTAACATTAATTTTAAGGAAATTTTATGAGAGGAGAAGTAGGAATTATTATTTTTCCCTATTTAATTTTTTGTTATTTCTTTAAGAGCATCTAGACTCTTCATTTAAGAAGCTATGCCCATTAAAGATACTTTAAACTTAGTGTAAGACACAATTATGGCTTAGCTTTGTTTGAAATTTATATGCATAACATATTTATCCAGAATTAATATCCATAACTATTTGAATCTGAAACAAGTAGAATAACTGTTGAATTAATTATGTGATTTTATATATTTTTTCTCTTCAAAGAAATTCTTCTAAACCAGCAATATCATGCTCATTATGCAATTCTTACCTGGAAGTCAAAAGTCCAAGTGCTTCCAAAGGACGAGAAAATGTCCATCTTCTCAAGATGATATGCATTTCTGAAACAGTCCTTTCATCCCATCCAGGGGAACTACCCAGGACCAAAGGAAGGGAGCAGTTTTCATTATTGCAGTAGAAGCGATAAAACCATAGGTATCTTTTCTTTTCTTCAGAGAGTCTGAAAGAACAGATTAGAAATTAACTTTTCTGGGCTTTGCTACACTAACAAATGTTACTGAAAATGCACAATGGAAACCTCACTGTACTGCTTTGGATATTGTTTTGATTTACTTTGGAAAACCAGATCTTTGTCTTGTTGCAATAGTTTGATATGTTACTCCATCAGCTTATTTCCCACTAACTGTATTTTATGTTGAAAAAAAAAAACAACTTTTAGTTCAAAAAATTCACATGTGTTTTTCTTCCCTTTTATCCTTGTCACTTTTTAAAATATGTCATTTTAGTTGGCAAAATCTCTGTCCCTTTTAGGGCAGAACTATATTCATCTGACTCTTGAAACATATTCTTTTTTACAAAAGAGGTAATCAACTGTTTACATTCTGACTTTCTTTACAAATCAACTTAGACAAGTGGGCCTGTGAAGGAATGGCATATTTTAAAGAAGAAATTCCTGCATCTCAGAGCACTTTTCATCAGAGTTCAGAAATCTTTCTGCTGTTAACTTCTAAAACAAAGATCTCAATTCATCTCTGGATTCTGGCTTTATATATTCAAAGTTCACTGGAAGTTTGGAGTGGAAATGCTGAATGATGATGCCAGTTTCTCAAGTGCTCAAGTATTTCCCCCTGGAGAGAGGCCTAAAGCAGAGACCTCAGTTTAGGAGGAGGGGAGGGCCATTGAGTTTCTGACAATTCATCTTGCTCTGCTCACACTCCAGCAGAGGCATTTAGAACCACAGGTCAATTGGAGGACAGCAGCCCTTGTGTGCCAATGCCAACCTTTGAACCCACCCTTCCATCTGATACTGCTGCTCAGCCTGAATCAACTAACTCCCAAGCAAGGCAATGAAAAATACTTAATATTAAAGGTCAGTATTTCTCTACAATTTCCTCTGCATTCATCATCATCTGTCAGATGGAATATTTGGAAGAGAGATGATTTTTCGGGTATGTTTAGGACCCTTTCCTATGCTGTGTTACTTTCTTCCCACCAGAAGGCCTATGGGAAAAATCAGTAATAGAATTACTACCACATAGAGTACTCTGATTAAATTCAGTTTTTCTTTAATACTGAACAATGCTATTTCTTTCTTTTTTACTGAGGCATAATTTACATAAAAGGAAATACTTAAAATCAGTTCAAAAATTTTTGACCAATGCATATGCTCTGTACCAAACACATTCTTATCAAGATACTTAACAGTTATTTTTAAGTCACCAGAGGGCAAGCACTGTTATGAGTTCTTTCACTCTATAGATTAATTTTAGTCCTTTTAGAACTCCATAATGGAATCAGAGAATGCATGTTCCTGATTTATGGCTTCTTTCACCCAAATAGCATGTTTGAAATTTTCCATATGTTGAGTGTGTCAATAGCCCATTCTTTTTAATTAGTAAATATTCTTTTTGGATGAATACACTAAACCTTGCTTATTAATTCTACTTTTTGATGGATACTTGGGTTGTTGCCTTTTTTGCAGTATTTCGTATAAAAGTGGTATGAACATTGCATGCAGATTCTTTTATGGATGTTATTTTTCATTTCTCCTAGGAGACAAAAGTCTGTGTTTTTGGTCAGGTATTTTGTTTACCTTTTGAGAAATCTGTAAACTATTTTCCAAAGTGCTTGTAAAATTTTACATTCTTTTTTTTATGCTTAACAATTATTACATATTTATTATGTGGCTGGCATTGCAAAAGTGACATGCTTTAAATAACAGTAAAAAAAAGAGTCAGGAGGGCTGGGGATGTGGCTCAAGTGGTAGCGAGCTCGCCTGGCATGCGTACGGCTTGGGTTCAATCCTCAGCACCACATACAAATAAAGATCCTCAGCACCACATACAAATAAAAACTAAAAATAAATATTAAAAAATTCTCTCTCTCTCTCTCTCTCTCTTAAAAAAAAAAAAGAGTCAGGATATGACCTTAGATATTTTCACTCTAGGATAGAGTTTCTCAACCTTAGTAGCATTGATGTAAAATTTTACATTCTTATGCTCAGAGTATAATAGTTTCAATTGTTCCACATTCTTGCCAAGTCTTATTTTGTCCTTTTAATACTATTCATTCTAATGGGTGTAGAGTGAGTGGTATATCATTGTGTTTTCGACTTAACCTAATATCCAGGAATATTTTATATACTAATTTTTATGTCTTTACTTTTGGAAGGTCTGTTTGTCTTTTAACCACATTTTGGTTGGATTATTTGGATTCCTTAGCATCATTTCTTCATATACACTGGATATAAACTTTTGTCTCATGGATGTTTTGCAGATGTTTTTCTCAGAACATGGCTTGCCTATTCATTCAATGCCTCCAGGCTAATAGCCACTTGAATCATGGTGCCTTTTGAGAAATAGTTTCAAATTTTTCTTGGTCCAATTTATAATTTGAAAATAGTTATTGCTTTCTCTTTTTTGTTCTTAGAAAATTTTGCCTATGCTAACATCCATTCTCCCGTTTTCTTCTGAAAACTTTATAGTTTTAGATTTCATGTCTAGGAAAATATCCATCTCGTATGGGGTAGGCATCAAATTTATTTATTTATTTTGTCCCATAAGAATATCCACTTGCTGAAAATATTTTTTGCATTTATTTCTTTGGTGGCTTTGTAAAAAGTTTGAACGTAAAAGTGGGAACTTGGACTCTATTCTACATTGTATTCTATTCCCTTGATTGGCTTGACCATCCTTAAGCCAACACCACAGTTCTCTTAATTGCTATAAATTTATAGTACATTAACCACACATATGAACTCTCAGATTTGTTCTTATTTTCATTATTGCTTTGATTACTTATAGCTATGGGTTAATTTTAAAAACAAATTTATAAAATTTTGCAAATTATTTTTTCCTCAATGTTACTATCCTTTCTTATTTCTCCACATTCTTATGTTGTATTGTTGGCACTTTCTTGTAGGTCACAAGGCTCTATTATGAATTTCAGTTGTAGTTTTTTTTAATTTTTTATCAACATGGATAATTTCTCTTGCCCTGCTTCAAACTCACTGTTCATTTTTGGCTACATTATGCAATCCATGAAGCACATCCAGTGATTTTTTAAAAATATTTTTTAATTCTTTAATTTTCATTTCTTTATAAAGACTTTATAAAGTTTTCCACTCATGTTTTTTAAAATATAAGTATCTTTGTATAGTTGTATTGAAATTACTGTTCATTAACTTAAAACAGGATTTATTTTCACTAACTATGAAGGCTAGAGTTATATTTTCCTGATTCTTCCCAATATTTTCCTAACTATTGATTGTATGCTAGGCATTTCCTAATTTTCAATTAACAATTGCATGGTGAGGCATTTGGAACGCTACATTATTGACAGTTAGCATTCTGCTATCCTTTGGGTGTTGAGTGATTTTCAATTTTTTAGTAGGTATATTATTTACTGACAAATCAGTCTGATCTAGTTGAATCTTTTTTTTAAAGAAACTATTAGAATGGGACTACTAGTTCTTAATCTAGGGCTAGTATAGACTTATTCTTAATATCCATCTTTCTGATTTGTTTGTTGAATGTCTGGGATGTTTTGTGAGCTTTCTCCTTTCTTATTAGTTGGAATTTCTCAGTTTCCAAGTATCATGCAACCTCTCAAGTCTACATTTATTGCACATCTCCCTGTGGGCCTTGGAAATCTACTTAATCATGAGTTGCTTGGGACTCAATAAATATCTAAGTGGAACTTCAGTACAGATGTCTGTAGCTCCTAATCTGCTATCCTGCTTCTTCCCATGCTGTGCTCTGAAGCCTCAGCATCATCGACCTCTAATATGATCCTTCTTTTTCCTTTACTTTCCTTTCTTTTACCTCCCTGCATCCTTCCCTTCCTGGCTTCTTTCTCTTTCTCTGGTTCTTCCTTCCACACTTCCTCTTTTTCTAACTCAGAAAGACTACAATTGCTTTTTTGGATTCTATGCCTCCAGGCTAATAGCCACTTGAATCTTGAGGCTCACTCTTAAATCCTGTCTGTTCAGTCTTTTCTGAGAACAGTGGTCTCATGTGTATTTTGTTTGTGTCCTAGTTTCTTAGGTTAGCAGGATCAGTTAGGTACCCTTCATGCTGAAATAAAAACATTCATTTCTTTTTTAAAAAATATTTATTTTTCAGTTTTTGGTGGACACAACATCTATATTTTATTTGTATGTGGTGCTGAGGATCGAACCCTGTGCCCCGGCATGCCAGGCGAGCGCGTTACCGCTTGAGCCACATCCCCAGCCCCATTTCTTTTGAAGTATATGTTTTCGAATGTTTAATTCTGGGGTCTTCCAAATATTTGAAACCACTTTTTTGGTTGACATTAATTTTTTTTTTATTTTTTCAGATATCACGGGTATATTTTCATTGAATGTCACTGAATCTGAATTTCCTGATTCTGATTACATTTTATTAAACTGAAAGAAAAAAATAATTAAGTCACCAATTATATAATAAAATATTAAACAATGTAAGTCATAAAACCAAGTGGTATTTGAAAACTTAAGCTAATTTGATTCTAACGCAAGTTTTACCACATTGAAGGCTGTTCCCCATCTGTTTCCACAGTCCAGAATGAAACTGTACTGTACAAAACATGAATAATTATATTCAAGTGGGTGAAACAGAGGAAGACGTTGCTTATTTTATGTATACTATTAACATAAATAGAAGTTGAAATATAAAACAAGTAGAATTCACTGGGCTTAATTTAAAAACACAAACTAATATAGTTAATATGATTATTATTTATTGGGTTTGACCCTTTTTGTTTGAAGATATTTGAAATTCAAAGCATTTGAAGATATTTAAGTTTTAAAGCATTGCATCTTTTTCACATTTAAAAAATTTTCTCATTATAAACGACTTAGCCTTTTATATGTGACATATTTTTTAAAGTAAGGTTTTGTATTTTGAGTAAGAAATTTAAAAAAATGCTACACCTAGTTAAGATGACAATAGTCTGGTGTGAAAATGGATTGTCAATATTATTTATGAGGACTATAAGACTCCCATTCAGTATGTATGGTGAACTTTTTATAAAGGCACTAGGCAAGGGGACTTTAGTCCTTGTGACATGCCTATTTTACACATATCATTTATCAGGCACAATATGTAGCATTGGAATCATAGTGATAGACAAAATAGATAGCTTTCTTCCCTACCTTCTCCAGTTCTTACAAATTAATGAGGGAGACAATCACATCAAGGAACAGGATGATAATAGCTTGCATTAAGTGTGATATCATTAATGTTAATCTGATAGAAAAAGAAGAAAGACTTGATTAGATTGTGTTATCAAAGAAGGCCTGTGTGAGAGATGACATTTAAGTGAAAACTTAAAGAGTGAGATGGTTTAGTCATGTGAAGGACACAGGAAAAGACATAGTAGGGAAGAATGTTTCAGGCAGAGAAAACACCAAATAAAAGGGGTTAGTATATTTGAAGCACATGAAGAAAAGTAAGGTCACTGCCTTGAAGTAAATGAGAAAAAGAATACTAAGTTGTAATTAGAGAGCAGGGCACTAACAAGATAACTCAAAACAAATCTCCTGATCATATTCAATGCTCCCATATGGGCTGACCCAAACTAAATCCTCCTCCAGAAAACGTCTCTAACATCCCTGCAATTGATCACCTAAAAACTTCACATCCTTCCTTGACTTAGTTTTGGTTCCTGGCTTCTCAATTTACTCACTCCCTATTTCCAATTAATCATGGAGTTAGGTCTTCTGAGCTTTCAAATCCAGCCACTCTACCAGTGTCCATTGCTATCACCTAGTCCTAGCCTTCTTGGGCTCTTGCCTGAAATATCAATACCCTCCTTGCTGCCTCTCGCTTCTCTCCAATCCAATCAAAGGGATTGCTCAAAAACTATTGTTTGTATCATAGAATTCCTCTGTTTGAAACCTTTACATGACTTCTCATCCCTGGAATAAAATGCCTTATCATGTTGCCTATCACAGAATGGCCACAGCATGGTATATACAAGTACCATCATGCCCACGTGTCTCTCTCTGTATCTGCGTGTGTGCTACTTTGTGAGTTTTATGCTCCTTCAACGTGGTATTAATGAGCACAATCAACTCTGATTTATTTATTACCAAATACCAAGCACAAATGTGACTAATTATAATGCCTCCAAGGATTTTGGTTTTATTTAAAGAATTATACTTTGACCAAAATCTAAGTACTTACTAATTTAGTGATGTTAAATATGGTTTATTTGTTTCTTTAAACATTGCCATACTAATTAAATTTCACTTTTTCTTGTTTACTAAAACAATTTCCTAACTAGTTGAAGGATGGTTGAGCTATAGTTTATCACTACTATGTGCTGATGTATATCAAATCACTATCTGCTTTGTTGTTTGGAACCAAATGATTTCTAACCTTTTTTTCCTTAAAATTGCTAAATTCCACAGGAAAAAAAATTTAAAAATATACAAAATTACTTATTTAGTTCCTACACATCAATTCAAAATCCAACAGGTGTGACTTTAGAAACGAAAAGAGTCATGTGGGAAGGAAGGTCCATGCTTTGAAGATAGAAGTGCTTTAAGTATGATACAGGAGAGGGTGAAAAGCAGGCAAATTCATCCACAAGACCTGCATCACTTACAGTAAGGGAGACTGTTTCTGTGAAAGTCTGGCAATATGTTTCAAACACTCTTTTGTTGGTTCTTCAAGACATGTTCTGTTCTCTTCAGGATCAGGTCTCATGTACTCCCATCCAATAGCTGGAAAATCAATCTGAAATAAATAAATAATTGGATATGTATTGAAGGTGTCTCTGAAGATATTATTAATTTATTAATCTGTACTTTTGGATTTGTAAAAACTTTAGAATAATTTCTATTTTTTTCTGTGTTATTATTTCTCTGAAATAGTTTTTAAAAGTATCATGAACACTTGAAATTGGTATTTAAACATACATGGTATCTGGTCAATTTTTACACATAGTAAATGTTTTATAATGTTTTACACATAGATTAATGTCTTGTAATGTTGTCTGAAGAAAAATAAGAAATAATAACAATATAAAAACCTTCTGTGAAGCTAACTATTTTGCATTTTTGTTTAATACTGAGGTTATATCCTTTATATATTTCAGTGTTAAAATGTTTCTATTATGAGATGAAGAAATTTGAAGATGATAATTATACTTTTTTTGATGTAATCACTTGTGAAAATAAGAAGAGCTACTCTAAGTTCTCAAGTCTAAAAGCCTGGGAACCATTTTGTAGAAATGAGACTGAGCACTTCTCTGGCAATAACCTGTTTTGCAAGTACAGTTATGTAATCAAATAGAATATCTTTGTTTTGGATCTTAGTTCAGGTTTATAGACAGGGCTAGAATCCAGGCCTCCTTTTTCTCTGATTCAATGTGCTTTCAATTAGGACCCTTTTAGTGATAATCTGACTCTGGTAAATAAAGTAACAGTTAACAAAAATGAGCTGGTTACTTTAGTGCTCCATATATTTTCTTAAGGTTATCAAACTTTTTAAAAATTTAAATATTAGGAAATCCACAGAATTTTTTTTTCTGCTGAACTATGTTAGGCTGAAAACTTGGAAAAAATTGAGGAACGTTATAGATTATGTGATTCACAGTTTGAAGTTTCGTTTAATCCATTCGTGTCTTTATGTATTTGAAAGCATTTCAGTATCTTTTTCTATAACCCTTAATACTTGCAATTTTTGTTTTTGTTATAAGATTTATTATTATGTACCAATTATCACTGAACATGATAAAAGAAGCTAGTTATAGGTAAGATAATCCAAAGCAATTAGTATAGTAAATTTTCTCTCTTGACCAAGATTAATATTGAAAAACTAATGTTGGTGCCTCTTATGAAAGTATATAAGTACCAGAAGGTTACATGTTACTCTTTATGTGCCCAAATATTGCTAAGCACATGGAACTGAATTGCTAGAAATAGTATTTCATGAGCTACAAGAATTATGTCAGTCCTAAGTAAATGGCAGTGTGGATGAGGAAACTAAAAACAGTGGATGAGAATGCAAAAGGCCCTGGTTACAAACTATATTAAATTCTTTTATAAATTTAGGAAGTAATTTTTATCACTAGTACATGAGTAAGCTTTATATCAAATTATATTACTAATCTAAATACTGACTCAAGAATCACTGATGGAAAAATATCAAATTTCTCCCATTGTCATTTGTTATGACACATAGCAAAAGAGAAATTCCCCAAAGTGTGTACGAAGGTACTTGCTCATTGTACTTTTGAGCACTATGGATTATGGAAGACATAAAGTATGATAGTATCCACAACCTTCAGAGACTTTACTGATGAGAAGAAGCATGCCAGTCCATTCAAACTAATGAAAAGATTAGGTTACAGCTCTCACAATCCAAACATTTCACCTTTGAACACTCCTGCATTAACAAGAGCTTTTGGGAGGCAGCTCATATACAAACATAGCACTATCAGAGATCTCTCAGTCAGTGGAAAGAAATATAACATGGTAAATGCATTGATAAGAATGTTATTAGGTATTTTGTGAACACAGAGGATGGGCACTTAAATTTCATGGGATAGGAAGAATTGAGGGGGTAAGTATGAGATAGAGAGAGGAATATGGATTGTAAGAGATGACCATCACTTACACACAGTTAGAGGAGGAGAGGGCAGTGGATGATGAAGGGGTAAGAACAGGTTTATTCCAGATAGGAAAAATATTTATATTTCTCATAAGGTAAAAGCAAAACAGTACACGTCAAAAATGACAACATTTTTCAAAGTTGCTGGTGTTTAATGTGTCAAAGAGGGACTGGCAAAAAAAGGGATGGAGAGGGATTTGCTATGGAGTTTGGTTTTTATTTTCTAGCTATTGCTGAATTACTGATGAGTCAATAGAAAATGGCAGGTTCAGATTTATGTTTACTTAGAGTCTAGATTAGAGGATGACAAAAGTCAACTATAGAAACCAAGTGATCAGTTTTAATACAGGAAGGTGTGGTTGAAACTAGGGGAGAAAATGTGAGGAACTGAGAAGATAAACTTGAAAAAATATTGGAGATTAAATTAGCAGGATATGGTGTGGACTAAACAAAGTAGAGAAAAGAGGGAAGAGGGAAGGAAAACAGGTAGGTATATCTGGGACAAGAACAGACGTAAAGAATTCTGAGGGTAAATGTAATTTTGGAGAGGAAGGTGGGCCTGGTTTGACATATGTTGTGCTTAAAGCTGCCAATAGAAAATCCAGGTGGGAGTTTAAGCAAGTATATGGCTATATTTGTCTGAAGCTTGTGGTACGAAGGAATCCGAGATGCAGGCTCAGAAGTGAACTGCATAGACACCGTAAAGAAAGCCTTAGGAATAAGTGTGACCTAGTGATTCCACTGCTGAGTATATATACAAGAGACATGAGAATATGCACCTCCATGAAAATATGTACTTTAATGTTCATGGCTGCATTATTCTTATTAACTAACGGGTAAAAAATCCCAAACCTGCATCTACTAACCAAGGGATAAATACAAGGTAGTATATCCATTCACTGCAATATTATTCAACAATAAAAAGAAATGAATACCATGCTACAGCATGTGTGAATTTTGAAAATATTATGCTAGATCACAGGAGCCTGTTCCAAAAGATTCCACTTAAATAAAATGTCCAGAAAAGGTAAGTCTATACAGACAGAAGGTGGATTAGCAGCTGCATAAGGTTGTGGAGGACAGGAAAACAGGAGGTGGGATTTCCTTGTTTGAGATGATGAGAATGTTCTAACATCGACTATAGTGATAGATGCATATTTCTGTAAAAATACTCAAAATGACTGAATTATACACTTTAGTGGGAGAATTCTGTGAAATGTGAAATATCACACTATACCCCATAAGAATATATGATTTATGTTAATAAAATTTAAAAACAATATTTAAAGATATGAAAGTACTAACTATCCTGATCTGGTCATTACACATTTAATATATAATATATACTACACATACACACACACACACACAAACACACTGAATTGTTACACTGTACCATATAAATGTGTACAACTAAAGTAATAATACAATATTTAAAATTAAAAATTTTATAAATGAATTATATTTTAATAGAGTCATTTGAAAACAATAGAGGGCAACAGACCCTTGAGAAACATCCACTGTGAGGACTAGGAGAGGAAGGGGCTCCTAGGAAGGATATGGAGAAAGGATAGCTGGAGAGAAGTGTGAGCAGAAAGAGAGGGCAGTAACAGCAGAGCTGGAGGGAGAGTTGTTCAGTAATGCGGAAGAGAGAGTGCAGAACAGAGCAGAGCAAACTGATAGGACCAGGATTGAAAACCATTACTGGATTTGGCACCTAAGAATCAGCAGACTCCCTAACAATGTTAAGCCAGGAAAAAACAAGCCAGAATATAGTGAATTTAAAATGAGGAGGTGAGGCAATTTGAGAAATACAGAATAGAACAAGAATAACATTAACACATATGAAACAACTCTATTCTTAATTCCTAAACATGTGACAGAGTCATTCTACTGGATGGTATTCAGGCAGAAGCAAAAGTTGAGGGAGACCCAGGCTAAGGGAGTCCAGCAATAACTTGCTTTTCTTTCCCTATTTCTGACTTGGATCTCCTTCATTCTGTCCTCTGCTTCCAGTCAATACATCAATTATCAGAGATCACAAAAACTGTTGACTTGGAGGAATCATGTTCTATGACATATCACATCTGTCACACTGGGTTGGCTATCCTGTGGGAGCAACCCTCTATTTAATAAAGACAATCAGAACAGTACAGACCTGACTAAGGCCGGGTAGGCACAGTGTAATTCTTTCAATGTACAGAAGTGAGAAACGAAGGTTCAGTGCCTTCTCAAGGTCATAAAGTTTTTGGCTAAGCGTTAAGATTTGAGTTGAGACTTCATGACTCTCAGCCTAATATATTTCCCTCAGTAATACTCATTCCCTAATGAAAATACTGGTAACAGAACTTGCGTCTAATTTCTTTACCATCTCATAATCTTTAGATTGAAAGATAACTGCTCTAAATTTAGCTGACTGTGTCACAAAACCGGTATGGGGTTCTAAAGGTGTTGATCCTATTATCTTCATAACTATTTTATTTTGTGTATTTTATTTTCAATTTAAAACCATGCTGAAATTTTTTTTTCTGCATCTATATTTGTTAAATTATTTGTGAAAATTGGGCAATTTAAATTCTGCATACTGTTGAATGATTATTATAGATTCTACTCTTTTTTTCTCTCTCTTTTTTTTGAAAGATGTATTCTATAATGGGTCCAGATTTCAACTTGGAAATCTGTGTAGCTGTTGAATACTTGACACTTCTTTTCTGATTCTATTTTTCAGAATCTATGTTCCTAAAAGAGCTACTCAGTCCTACAAGGGAATCTCATCTGATAATCTTCCTTACTTCTCTTACCCTACCTTTGTCCCTTCACCAAAGACCCCACAAATCATGGATTTATATCCACAAAGCTCTGGCAATGATTATCCTCAAAGACTTAAACTTTGGTAAGCTGCAGTGGTTTGGATCAGGGAAAAATACTGATTTAAAACAAAATTATTTATCCTTTTAAAGGACTGTAAATGATATCTACACCTGGACACCCTTTACGTCTGTCTATTCCTTCTCTCCATGTTTTTTTCGTGAAATGAAAGATATTGCTGTTGACCTAGGAACTCCAGGTTTTGTTCATAAAGTTGTGCTCCTTTATTTCTAAAACAGTTGTTGTAATTGACCACTTAACTGTTCTTTTTTTTCCTGTTAGTTTTGTGCCTATGATCTTTAACTTGGAGCACTCAGATATTTCTCTAGCAAGTGTGCATGCATCTAGTCTTCTAGTTTTCCAGGACATCTTCTACAATATTTTCAGAACTTCTTTCTATGACTCATTGCCCAGATCATCCTGTCTGAATCTGGTACACAGTCTAATCCCTTAATGATATTCCAGCCTCTACTACTATTCCTCATGTAATTGGTTCTTTATCTTAGCTAACGTGTCATATTTTCAGGCTAACACTGCCTTTCTGAATCAAGGACTGCACTGTGCAGTCCTTTATGACTGTATCATCAACCCCTCTTAAATATTCAGTTGGAATTTACTCAGGGCATTCAAGTCCACTCAGGGCATTCATAGGTCATGTCCTTAGGAGTCAGTGTTTGTCCCTCATACGTTTTCTGAGCTTTCTCTCAGAATTAGGAATTGCTTTTCACATTGTGGCAGTGTCCCTGAACAGCTAGAACATTTGTCAGATTGCATCAGAGAGAGTTTTAAGAGTTTGTCTCTCTAGTAGATTTTTCATTCCTCAAACTTCCTGGTTTAGTATTTCATAATCATTCATTGTCATAAGAGTGTTTATCATAACATTTGGTGCACAGGAGTCATATATGAAATGCATATTCAGTGTGACAGAATTGAACTACTAGTATTTTTCTATTCTTCTTCATTTATAGAATATATTTATCAGGTTTATGGTGACTCTTCTTTCTCATAGAATTGTTTCCTTTTATCCTGTTATGAAAGGGCATCTGCTAATCAATCTCATGTGTTAAGTGTCTATGACATGCTAAGATCTAAACCGAATAACCTCTTTCTTATCATCTTGCCCACAGTTAGAAGTGAATCTTTTGGTGCTGTCTGAGGGCTTTCCTCAGACATAACGTGAAGTCACATTTTTGGGGGGAGGGGGACCATGGATTGAACTCAGGGGCACTTAACTACTGAAGTCACATTTTTAGAGTGTTAATTTGTCCTTTCCATTTTTAGCATCTTTCTGTGTATCTTTTTAAACTCTAACTTCTATACCCTTCTCCTAAACCCACAGGTAAAGCACCTGGAACTCTACAGTATTTCTCCACAGAAACCATCCTCAGTTGAAAGCAACTTTGTCTCTAAAGGACATTTGATAACATCTGGAGACAATTTTGGTAATCACAAGTGGGAAGGAGCCACTGGCATCTAGTGGGTAGAAGTCAGGGATGTTACTGTCCATCCTACAATGTACAACAACAGGACAGCCTACCACAAGACAGAATTATCCAGTCCAAAATGGAACTGAGGTTGAGAAAGTCTGTTCCAGAGGGTGCTACTCAAGTTGCAGTTTTCAGTCCTGCTATAGAAATGAAAAGCCCATACTTCTTACATTTCCACTTATGAGAGTATTGTTACTTCAGCTATCTAACCAATGGACTTCCATTATAAAGAAATGAGGATCATCAGTGAGTAGTAAGAACCAAGTACTAGAGTCACTGACCACATTTTATTCATGATCACAAATCACAGAAAGAGGTTTGAGGAAAAAGTGAGAGTATAATAAATATATTTTATTTGCAATTTCTTTCCCACCATTTAGTGAATTGCCAGTCATTTAGGAATGCACAATTGAAGAGATTTTAAGGAAACATGACACAAAGAAATGGTGGGTGTGAGTAAAGTACCACATTAATAATATATGCCAATGAGTGTGTTTGGATATTGAAAGAAAAAACAATGCACAAAATGAGTGTGTTAATGGCCATGTTGTAACACTCTTCGCTACGATCTTGTGTGATGGAGAAATGGCAAGAAATTGCTTTTATATAAACTGGGAAAAAAGTGCTTTGCGAGTACTGAATATAGAATAAAAGCAATATAAGTTTCACGAATCCCAGAAGGCTGGAAGAAGAGAAGACTATTAAAATGTGTGATCCTACAAGAAATTGTTTCTGTCATTGACCAACAAACTACTTATCAACCAACATTTGCCTTGTGTACTTTAATCTCATAGCTTGGCACTTACCTGCAGGGTCACTGGGGATGGCTGACTTCCATCCCACACTCCTGGAGCTATCAGTTCTATGGGAGGCTCATTCTGTAATGTCATGCTGAAAAGCAGAGACCCGAAAATGGATTTTCTGCAAAAGACGACACAGACAGACAGGAGTTACCTCCTGAGTGAAACTATTAGTACTTGTGCATGTTTTCTTTTGGAGTATAAATATAATCAACTATTTTGTAGCTTCATGCAGTAGGTAGAAGAAAAGTAAAATATTCCACAGTTCATATACTGATTAACAGATGATTTCTGATATACCACATGCATGGTATGTGGAAAACATGCCCTGAGTAGACTTGAATCCCCTGAAAACATTTGTCTTCCATTTGAGAATATTGTTTTCACAATGGTTTCTAACAGGTAGCATTTATTTGGAATTGTTGTTAATGATGATTGCAGAGTAAGACTAAGAATCTCAGATTTATACTCATGGAGTTATGATTGTCTTAACTCAATAAAGATGGTAACTCTTCAGAGCATTTTTTGCTCCATGGAGTGACTAAATTCCTGGGCGTTTAGAGCTATGAGTTCTAAATTTATAGAAAGAGAAGATTTAAATTAGCATAGCATATGATCTGAGAATCAAAATAGTTGTGGAACTTCACAGAGGAAATGTTCCTTCACACATAAATAGAAAGATTATTCATATTCTGAATATTTAAAAATCAGTTGTAAATTACCATAGTAAATGAGAGTGCATACAGGAAAGACTTTAAACAGGGAAGAATTCAGGGATGGTTTTAACAGCTTCAGGAACATCCAAATCCATAGATCTTGTACGGATTTAAAAAAGAAGCTATACCTGGCTGTGTATATGAATCAGAATATTGCCAAAACATTCCAATATTCACCATAAATAGCATTTGATTTTAATATACTAAATTAAGAATGTAGAAATGAAATTTAACAAAATTAAACTTAAGCTTATAAAGAACTTTAAAACATCTTTTTAATAGTAACAATTTCACCTTGCAATTTAATAGATATCATGCAAAACTTGAGGAAAAAAGCTCAATTAAATAAAGCTTTCTTTAAACTTTTAGTTTTATAAGAATTGCCTTCTGCATTAATTTTCTACCTAAAGATATCATCAGAAAGTATTTGTCCAGGGGGATATAATTGATTATCATTATTGAACAGGTATTTTTATATGACCGAAGAATATTCTTCTTGAAGGATAAGTTTTGATTCTCGTTTATCACTTTGTTTCATCCTCATCCAAAAGAAAAAAAGCTGGTGTAACACTGCCATAGGACCAGTATTTGTAAGGTAAAATTTAATTTAATAGGAGTAAGACTTAGAAAAGTACTAATGTAATTTCTTCTTTCTTCTATTTGTTAATAGCATTATACTTTATTAAGAAAATCCTGAGGAATCTATCAAAACATACAGCTAGATCTTATAAGTGAGATCACCAAAGTCATAACTTACAAGGTCAATATATAAAAATTAATTATATTTCCCTCTAACAGCAAAGATCATGTGCAACCTCAAATTAAAATTTCTATTTCAAGTCTGATATGGTCAGCATCTGCTGGGATTGTAGGCTGAGGAAGGATTGCTTGAGTCAGGAGTTTTGAAGCCAGACTGGTCAACAAAGAATAACCAAAACAAAAACAGTTGGACATGGTTGTGCATGCCTATAATCCCAGTGACCAAGGATGCTGAGGCAGGAGGATCTTCCAAGGCCAGCTTCAGCAACTTATCGAGAACTTATCTCAAAGAGACTGAGGTTATAGCTTAGTGGCAAAGTGCCCTTGGATTCAATCCCCAGCACCCCCTGAACAAACAAACATACAATAAATAAACCCTTCAATATCACATAAAATGGTCCCATAAAATATATCTACAAAAAGTCTATAAGAAAATATGTCCATAACTTACAAGCTGAAAATTACAAAACATGAAATAAACGAAGAAGATCTAAACAAAGACATCACATTCATGGCCTGGAAGACCCAACATAGCAAAACAGGATAGTATAGTGAGCAGAAGTTTTGGCCTCTGCCAATAATGCAGAGTACTAGATCAATAAAATAGAGAACCCAGAAAGAGACCAACATGAAGAAACCCAACTGATATTTGACTAAGACATAAAAGCAATTCACTATAGGTAGGGAAGTCTTTAGAAAAACAATAGTACTGGAACAACTGAACATTTGTAGACAACAGCAAGAGAAACTCAACCTAAAACCTTACACAGTAGTACAAAATTAACAGTATGAATCAGAGATTCAAACATAATAGGTAAACTGTCAAAATAAAATATGAGAGCCAGGTGCTAGAGCACATGCCTGTAATCCCATCAACTCTGGAAGCTGAGGCAGGAGGATTGCAAGTTCAAAGCCAACTTCAGCAACTTAAGGAGGCCCTAAGAAACTCAATGAGACCCTGTTTCAAAAAATAAAAGGAGAGCTCAGTGGGAAAGTGATCCTGGAAGGAAGGAAGGAAGGAAGGAAGGGAGGGAGGGAGGGAGGGAGAGAGGAAGTTAGGAAGGGAGGGAGGGAGGGATGGAAGGGAGGGAGGGAAGAAGGGAAGGAATGGAAAAGAAAAGGAAGAATAAATATGTAGGACCTACAAGAAAGAAAATGGGGAAGGAAGGAAGTAAGGAAAAATATGCAGGACCTACAACTTGGTGAAGAGTTCTGAGACACTATGTAAAAGGGACAAAGAACTGTCATCACAATAATGACACAGATCAACACAACACAAAAATGACGCTCCCCACAATGCAAACGTGAAGTTACTCGTGATCACCTCAAAGGCTTGGCAGAGAATTCAAAGCAAACCCATGATTATTTTTATCCTTCTGTACAATACACTATTTAATGTAAGGTAATACTACTTCATGCAGCTCAAAACCTAGGCTCTGAAAGAGGAGGAGTACTAGTAGTAGCAGTAGTAGTAGTCATCGTCAGGCAACAGGGACTAAATCCCTGATGATGAAGGCGACTCACACGTAACTGCTGGTTCACCTGTTGACATTTCAGACACTCCACAGTAATCTTCACAAAGTCTTTTATAACATTAAAAGTAAGACTCCTCCTTTGTGTGTTATTTTTCTTCAGAGTTTAACTTGCTCCTTTAATCCAATTTAGCCTTGAATTTTATTTTGTTTTGGTTTTCACTTAACTTCTAGAATATTACTCACGGGGACAGGGCATGCAGAGCATAAGGAAGGGTAAGAAGTGAGAAAGCTGAATCCAAGGAAAGAACTGGGACCCAGCTGAGTTAACTGGGTCAGTAACACTATCATCCCCATCCCACAAAAAAATAAAGACTACACAAACTGGGATCAGGAAGGTATGAGGATAGGTGCGTTAAGGCCTCAGAAGAAATACTTGTTTAAAAAGCCTCAGCTTTAAATATGCAGAAGATGTGCAGTTGCATGTGCAGCCTCCTCTCCTTAAACACAAGCCTCTAATCTCCCAACAGACTGTGCTCCTGCTCCTTGGACAGAGGCAACGTCAGGGGACAAAGGTGGCTTTCCAGGTCTTCTCACCCTCACAGTCTAACTGTCTTGAGACTGGAAAGCAGTGAGTGTGCACACAGGAAAAACAGGGCTCTTTCATTTCTGAAACCACACTCTCCTTTTCCCAAGTACAATCATGAAAGAATGGCAAACTGCTTGCCAAAGAAGCCTGAAGGAAGGTATGCTTGCATTTCTTCCTGTTTTCTGTATCTCCTCCCAGTTGTGTTTTTGTCTCTGAGGATTGAACCCAGGACCTTGCACGTGAAGCACTGAGCTACACCTCGAGCCTTACCCTCCTCCTGTTAAAAAAAAAAAAAAAAAAAAAAATATATATATATATATATATACACACACACACACACACACACACACACACACACACACACACACCTGAGATAATATTTCAATCTAAACTAAGAAGAAAGATGTGGCTAAGGTTTTTCTAAGAGCACAGTAATCAGGGGGCCTCTCTGATGGAGGAACTACTCTCCGACATAGAAGTTTAGGCTGTGTCCATTTCAAACAGGACTCTTCAGATGATAAATAATGATTTGTGACATCTTTCTTAATAGAGATGGGACTAAAGGAGCTTCTTTTGGCATGAATGGCCATAGGCTGACCACTGATTTTCCTCAGTGGTTACATTAAATTTTTTTTTTCCTTAACATGAGTCCTGAGATGTTGACTGAAGCTTTCTCACTTGTGAAAGGTAGCGCTTCCTCTGCTGTGCTGACCAGGTTTCTCCCAGTGTACATCCTTTGGTGCTGAGTGGAGATGAGCTGTGGCTGAAGGCCTTTCCGCACTCACTGTACTTACAGGGCTTCTCTCCAGTGTGGATGATGGCATGCTGGATGAGGTTTGCATTCCTGCAAACAGATGTCCCACACTCCATGCACTCATAGGGCTTCTCCCCACTATGAATCTGCTAGTGCCTTGTGAGGTGTGACCATTGGTTGAAGGCCTTCCCACACTCTATGCACCCTCCAGTGTGGATGTTGAAGTGGCAAATGAGTTCTCCTCTGTCACAAAATTCTTTGCATCCATAGGGTTTTTCTCCAATGCGGGTTGTTTAATGCAGGATGAAAGTAGAGTAGTAGGTAAAGCCTTTCCCACATTCACTGCACATGTAAGCTTTCTCCCCATTGTGGATGTGCTGGTACTGTTTGAGGTGGGACTGAAGGCCTTCCCACACTCCATGCATGTATAGGGCTTCTCCCCAGAATGGATGATGTAGGCTGAATGAGATCAGCACTCTCACAGAAGGTCTTCCTACACTCACTGAACTCAAAAGGCTCACTCCAGTGTGGGTCTGCTGGTGCCACTTGAGGTATGACCATTGGCTGAAGGCCTTCCCAACATTCCATGCACTCACAGGGCTTCTCCCCAGTGTGGAGGATATAGTGTCATATAAACCCAGCCTATCGTGAAAGGTTTTGCCACATTCTTTGCACACAAAATGTTTCTCTTCAGTATGGCTCCTGTTATGCAAGACAAAAGTGGAGCAGTGGGTGAAGGCCTTTCCACAATTGCTGTATGCATAAGGCTCCTCCCCACTATGGATTCACTGGTGCCATATAAGGTGAGATCTGCATTGGAAGGTTTTCCCA